GCAGTGAGGACTGGGTAATGGGAGGAGAAAGGGCAGCCAAAGCACAGCCTGGTAGAAAAAGGTCTCAACAGTAAAACATGGGCTTCTGCTCTATGAGAAAACACCATAGACCAGTCCTGACCTATGTCACCAAACACCATCATGGGGTTCTCAAGATTAGATAGGCAAAAACGCAGTGCAGACCACATAAATATTAATTCTAAAAAGCAAAACCATAAAAACATACAAGTTGTGTTGTGACTGAGTAGATTTGAAATTAGCAAGGGTTTCGTGAACTCATGTCAGTCATACACTTGACTTGGTTACAAGTAATTTTAGCAATATCTTAAACCCATGTGTTAATAGTTGACATAACTAAGGACCCTGTCTCAGACTGAGTTATTTGCCATTGGATGAATATAATTGAAGCTTTTTGAATGCTTTGCCAAATCAAGTTAGACACTGGGTTCTGTCTCTTTGACCGTAGGGTCAGAATCTAGCTAAACCACAGTTAGTCTCTTATTTGCAACATTGCCTTTCCCACATGGACTTGTATTGTTAGTGTGAGTGGTCCTTCTGCATGGAGATACAAGGTTTGGTCCTGGTATGAGGGGAGCTCTGTGTTCTGATATGAAATCAGGTAAATTACTTTCAGAATTTAATTTAGCTGTATTTACATCTTCTACATTCAAAAACGGATTTATAGACCCTTAAGCGCAAAACACAAATATAACATACCAAATTGGTATCATGACTTCAAAGAGAAGCAGGCAGAGGAGAAGGGAAAATTATTGATATGTGTAGCAATTTGGTTTTGCCTTCCTTTGTTAAATGTGACGGTTGCATCTGTATGTGATCCTACATTGTGGAGCCACGGCCCATAAGGCCCCATTCACCTCAGGAAGATGAAAGACAAGACCAGAGTTCTCTACTGAATAAGGCCTCTGGCTTGTAGTGTCATTATCTGGGTTTTGTGCTGGCCTGCTTTCATCACGCTGCCTTTCTGGTTGATGACCCTCCAATTTGACAGTGGAAGCCAGCTTGGCAATTCTTGATGGCTGTGGGTGTTTGTGTGTTTTCCTTTCATGATATCAAAAGGGGAAATTTTTGATACTTAGCCTTTTCTCCTAGGAATGAGAGATGACTTATTTATTTTTACTTTGTGTTCTGCATGTATGGATGTGTGCCACATGTGTGCCTGGTACCCACAGAGGCCAGAAGACGTGGTCCAATCCCCTGCAATTGGAATTAGAGGGAGTTTTGCGCTACCAAGTGGTAAGAGCAACAAGAGTTCTTACCCCGAGGCAATCACCCCAGTCCCTAGAGATGATTTGAAAGAGCAGAATCCTATAACCAAACATACTAAAAAATAATATCTTTGAGGGTTTTTTGAAGGGAGGTTGTTTCGGTTTTTCTTATTTGTTTGTTTTTTGGCCTAATTCAACTTACTCTTCCCTTCATCTTTACAAATGAATTCTATAGTTACCAGAACGTACTCACATTTTTTTAGTAGCTGTGTTTGGTCAGAAAACAAAATTGGATTCCTCCACTTTATACATTATGTGTTAACACAGTATGTGTCTTTTGGAGCGCTCAATCAGGAAATGCCACTAAAAGTGATGTATGCAGCACATGGCACAGCATAGAAAAGTGACTCTGGGAGAGCAGAGCACTTCTGTCTTTCTTAGTGTCCCCTATTGCTTATAAGGTGTGTGAGAGTGCATGTGATTGTGTGTCTGTACAAGAGTGCTATGTGTGTGTGTTCATGTGAATGCGTCAGTGAATGTAAGAAAATGTGTCTGAGTATGGATGTATGTATATATGTATGATTCCATCTATGTATGTGAGTAAATGTGTGTCATATTTGTATAAGTGAATGTGTTTAATGCAGATGATATGATAGTTTACACAAATGATCCAAAAAATTCTACCAGGGAACTCCTACAGCTGATAAACACCTTCAGCAAAGTGACAGGATACAAGATTAACTCAAAAAAATCAGTAGCCCTACTATATACAGATGATAAATGGGCTGAGAAAGAAATCAGAGAAACATCACCCTTTACAATAGCCACAAACAACATAAAATATCTTGGAGTAACATTAACCAAACAAGTGAAAGACCTGAATAGCAAGAACTTTGAGTCTTAAAAAAAAAAAAAAAAAAAAAAAAAACTAAGAAGATACCCAAAAAATGGAAAGATCTCCCATGCTCTTGGATGGGTAGAGTCAACATAGTAAAAATGGCAATCTTACCAAAAGCAGTCTACAGATTCAATGCAATTCCCATCAAAGTCCCAGCACAATTCTTCACAGACCTTGAAAGAACAATACTCAACTTTATAGAGAAAATCAAAAGACCCAGGATAGCCAAAACAACCCTTTACAATAGAGGAACTTCTGGAGGCATCACATTCCCTGACTTCAAGCTCTATTATAGAGCTATAGTCCTGAAAACAGTTTGATATTGGAACAAAAGGAGACAGGTAGACAAATGGAATCCAATTGAAGATCCAGATATTAACCCACACACCTGATCTTTGACAAAGAAGCTAAAATTACACAATGGAAAAAAGAAAGCATCTTCATTCAACAAATGGTGCTGGCAGAACCGGATGCTGGCATGTAGAAGACTGCAGATAGATCCATGTCTATCGCCATGCACAAAACTTCAGTCTAAATGGATTAAAGACCTCAACATAAATGCAGCCACACTGAACCTCTTAGAAGAGAAAGTGAGATGTACCCTTTTTAAGGAGAAGCTTTTCCTTTGCTAGCCACTTTGGTTTATTCCCCGCCAGCCTCCTGGGCTCTGCCACATTGTAGTCCCCCAAAAAACACACAAGACGCTGTATTAATTATGAAGCTGTTGGCCTTGCTTGTCTCTTACTGGCTAGCTCTGCTTTAAGTAATTACCCCATAATTGTTAATCTAAGTATGTCTCTTACCAGAGAATAGTTCCGGGCTCCTACCCCATGGAGTTACATCTCGAACTCTCCTGTGTTTCTCCTTCCCAGAATCCTCCTGGACTCCTAGCCCCACCTATCTAGATTCCTATTGGCCAGCAGTAATTTATTGACATATACACAGGACTTCCCCAACATACCCTTGAACAAATCGGTACAGGAGATCGATCGCTTCATGAACATAACTCCACTAGTGCAGACAATCAGATCAACAATTAACAAATGGGACCTCCTGATACTGAGAAGCTTCTGTAAGGCAAAGGACACAGTCAGCAAGACAAAAAGGCAACCCACAGAATGGGAAAAGATCTTCACCAACCCCACATCTAACAGAGCGCTTATTTCTAAAAGATAGAAAGAATTTATGAAGCTGGTCACCAAAATATCAAACAACCCAGTTAAAAAGTGGGGTTCAAAACTAAATAGAGAATTCTCAATAAAGGAATCTAAAATGGCTGAAAGACACTTAAGAAAGTGCTCAACATCCTTGCCATAAGGGAAATCAAATCAAAACATCTCTGAGATACCATCTTACACAGGCCAGAACAGCTAAAATCAAAGACACCAATGATAGTCTATGCTGGAGAGGATCTGGACAAAGGGGAACAAGCCTCCATTGCTGGTGGGAGTACAAACTTGCGCAGCCACTTTGAAAATTAGTACGGCGGTTTCTCAGGAAAATGGAAATCAGTCTACCTCAAGATCCAGCAATTCCATTCTTGGGCATATAACCAAAGAATGCACATTCATACAGCAAGGACATATGTTCAACTATGATCATAGCAGCATTGTTTGTAATGGCCAGAACCTGGAAGCAACCTAGATGCCCCTCAAAATCCTCCCACATAACCCTCCTTGCTCTTTCAAATTCATGGTCTCTTGTTTCTTTAATTATTGTTCCATACAAATATGTGTATGTATGTACATATATAGTCCTAAATATAAAAATGCAGCCTCCTCAGTCTGTATAATGTTTCTTGTATATATTTTTTCCATTGGATTACTCTTCTGTGGGCACAACTGTTTCTTCTGCTCTTTGTATTCCTTTTATTTGTTTATTTGGAGGGAAAAGGGGAAAGGAGAAAGGTTGTAATTATAATCTCAAAAACTAAAAAAGGCAATTAAAAAAACACAATGTTGGTGGATACAGAGAGGAGGAGAATGTGGGAAGAGTTGTGGGAGTAAGATCAAAATGTATTACATGAAATTCTCAAAGAACGAATAATACTATACTTAAATTTTAAAATTAGTAAATGTAAAATATTTTATGTCTTAGGATTTATCTGCTATAGCAGCAAATACAGAAAAAAAGAAATACCGGTAATTGTTAATTAGTCTTCACTAGATGAGATTATCACAAAATAGAAGATCTGAACTTCCTTCGGCACTCACGTGAGAACTGACACACCATAAGCCACACAGAAGTCAATGCGTAGGATACCAGTTATAAACAAGAGTCTGTGAGCACAGCTCTGTTCTTCAAAGACAACTATATGAATTTACCTAGTAATAAGGGCACCAGCAATCCAATCTAAATTATCAGGCCAGAAACTATAATGCAGAGTAGCCATAGTCACACAATATAACATTCAATCTGAGGTCCACAGGATCAAGGGAATATAACTAGAACTATTTCCTAAATAATAATGTGATTGATTATAAAGAAAAGACTTTGAAAATGTAGCCAAACTATTTACCTTACTAAATCAAGCCCAGCTTGCTGAACCTAGCCAAGGAGACGTCAGCTGCACAGGTGACTCCAATGGTCCTGACACCTGCCTCTCTGCACCTTTCCGTTTCTCACAGATTCAACCTGAGTCGCCTATGAAAACAATACTGGGTATTTTAAACAGAGAAAACCATGGGAGGGTAAAGTCAGTCTAACTGTATCTGGTTGTTTGAACATCAAGCTCATTACAAAGCACCTATTCCACTCACAGCACACGTTCAAAAGTTTGAAACTGGTTGAAAATGCTCATGCAACTCACAATTCCAAGATGGTCCTTTGTAAATATTTAAAAGTGATATGGCAGCACATCAGTTATAGGCTTATACCTTGCAAACTGTATCCACATCCCAAGGCACAATCGTCCGCAGATCAATGATTTCACAAGACACCCCAAGCTTTTCTCGTGCCATGGAAGCCACCTCCCGGATGACATGAACCTGATGAGGGAAAATACACAGGGAATTATTAAAACAGTTCAGACCTGAAAGTCTTGTTGGGTGTCAGGATTGTTCATAATGATACTCTGCAGTTGGAAAAATGATCTGCTGGAAGAATTCAGAAATGTGTTTTAGGCATGTTGATCCCCATGTCACAAAAACAAGCAAGGAAAAATATCTAGACTATCAGAAAGAAATGCTAGCAAAAGGGGAGAAATACTCATTTGAAAAGCTCAGGAGGCAAATAAAGGAAGAGGCTGATGGCCAGGGAGCATACAGAGAGAGAACACCCACAGACCACCAACATTTATTTTTTAAAATGGCAGAACAAGAGTTCTAAAGATAAACAAACAGCTAAAGAAGCTGAAAAGGAAAAAAAAAAGTCGATAGATCCCAAAACTAAGGGCAAAGAGGTTTCATAGACAAAGTAGCCAATAACCACGCCAAGTAAGAGGCAAGTTCTGGGTTCAATAACTGGAACAGGAACTGGAGAGAAGGCTCAGTGGTTAAGAGCATTTGCAGAACATCTGGGTTCAATTCTCAGCATCATACATGATGGCTGACAATCAGCTCAGAAATGAGGGAGAGAGGGAGGGAGGGAAGGAAGGAAAGAAGGAAGGAAGGAAGGAAGGAAGGAAGGAAGGAAGGAAGGAAGGAAGGAAGGTAGGTAGGTAAGTGGTTTGGAAGTAGAGAATTGGGACACCAAGCCCTGCTGTTACTGCTGGGGCAAATCAGATAAAACTATCACTAGGAAAGAAAGATACATAATTCTGGCACTGGGTCATAAGAGAGGTGGTCCACATGGCAAGCAATGCACTCATGAGAGGAAGCAAAAGATGGGATGAGAAAGATGTCAGTGCAGCAGGTAACAGGGATGTGCCATATGAGCTGCAAAGGTTTTCTGAACGGACACAGCTGTGCGCACCCAGTTAGTATCTCAGTATCACTGGACATGCACTTCACCGCCACCCAAAAAGCATTACTAGAAACTTCCAGTCACTGACTGAGTAAATTCTGAGGAATGAATGTGCAGCACAGTGACTAAGCAAATAAGATTGTGCTGTTCATGAACTGGGCACGGTGGCCAAGAGCTTGCAATCCCAGTACTCCGGAGGTACAAGCAGGAGGACCAGAAGTTCAATAGTTCAATATCGTCATCAGCTGCATAGCAACTTTAGGGCCTGACCTGAGCAACACTAAGACTCTGTTTGAAGACAGCCACAGCTGCTCAGGGTGCACAGGATACGTACTCCGCCCTCTCTAAGGCTCAGGGTCAATGTGGGAGAGGGGGCAGAAAGAGCTGGAAGATGGAGAGAAGGGCTGTAAAAAACACCACCTTCTAGGCAAGACACACCCATTGAAACCATGAACTTAGAACAGCTGTGGACGGCTGCACTTGGTCTCCACAAGAATGGGCCTATCAAAGGCCAGTCATGAATGGAGGAAGAGGTTAGCAGACCCCACATCTCACGGTGGGACTCTCTTCTACTGATAGATTTGTGGGGAGGGGGAATCTCTGCCTTTAGACTGGTGACCCCACCAGGCTCCAATGGACTGGTCCAATCCACAGCTCACATGGATGTCCCTGTGCTTAAGTAAATGGGTCACAAAACAAAACCAAGACTCTTAAGTCTAGGAATGAGACTAAGGGGCATAAAGCGGGGGAAGGCAGCAAAAAGGATCAAAGAGAGATGAGAGAGGATTAGGGAGTAATCAGAGAGCATTATATACATGTATGAAACTGTCAATACAGAAAATTAATCAAAAATAAAAATAAATAAAACCCTTCTTTTAAAAGAAAAGTTGGATCGTTTGCTTTAAATTTGCTCAGGGTAGATCTTATGTCTCAGTCTGCACGCACGCACGCATGCACGCACTGCAGTAAGGAACTATTACTTAGCCTGATTGGGTCATCATTTGACAATATACACACATGAGAAACCATCAATGCTGTCCACCTTGAATCACTCTCATCTGTCAGTTACCATCGTAATAAAGGGTGGAGGCGAGGGTGGGCACTGTCAGCACAAAAAGACTCCATCTGACAGACATACAGAACACACCAGAATTACAGACAAAAGTGTCCCAGCACAGTGTGGCCTCAGCAGTACCCACCTGAGTGCCCCAGGCAACCAGAGTCACATCACTGCCCTCCTGGATGACTTCAGCCTGAGACAGGGGGATCTTGTAGGGTTCTACTGGGACCTGTTCCACTTAATACATAATGAGAGAAAAATGAAAGTTAATTAATGTTACTCACATGACACCTGTGTCTTAAAGACTATAAGAAACTCCCCATGACAGTATCTCATTATTGAAAGCTTCATTTAAAACGTAAATTTTATTATATAGCTCCATGACATCACTACAGATAAACACATGCAATGTATGAAATATATCATCTAACCTGAAACATGAAAGACTGAAGCTAGAAACTGAATGATAGAAATTGAATAATTTTTTATTATTTTTGTGTTTTTTTTTTCAAGACAGGTTTTCTCTATGTAACAGTCCTGGTCATCCTGAAACTCACTTTGTAGACCAAGCTGGCCTCAAACTCAGAGAGATCCACCTGCTTTGCCCCCTGAGTAATGGAATTAAAGGTGTGAGCCACCACCTCCTGGCTGAAACTGAATAAATCTTACTGACGCATGTTTTATTCCAACTTAACTCAGCAGTATTGGCTAAGTATAAGAATTTAGCATACAATGGTAAGATGATGGCAAAAGGAAAATGGACTGTGATGGATGGAATTCTCTGTATTTTTGTACTTTTTGCATGAATTTAAAACTTGTTTTTAAGTGTTTATAAATGTGGGTCCAGTGAAATGGTATAGCACGTGAAAGACCTTGCAGCACAAGCCGTGACCTGAGTTCAATTCCCATAACCCACACAAATATGGAAGAAAAGCACCTGGATAATGTCCTTTCACCTCCACTCACATACTGTGCCATGCACATATAGAATAATTTAAAAGTTAATTTTACAAGAAGCTTAAAAGCTATTAACAAATCTGCCAAAACCCTATTTGAAAGCCTGAAGTTCTCAGACCAGTTTTCTTTCAAGCAGGAAATGTATGAGCATTTGAAACATTGGGAGAAAGCACATAGTAGGATTAAACTTGCTCTGTTTCATGTCTGTACTGTGCATGAGTGAACAGTATTACCCATAAGCGACCAACACCCTATACCTCACAAAGATTAGCCAAATCAGTGTCACCAGAACAAAGAGAAAAGACTAATCCACTGATATCCCAGGGGAAGCAATTCTATGATTTCCCTATGTAATCAAGCACAGGAAATTGTCAGGTGAATTTTCAAATGAAATTAAGTAGGGATTTGACAAATCTGCCCAGCTTAGCTCTGAGGTTCTTCTGTGAGAGCAGCAGTGCTAGGGAAAACTGCTGCTCTTTCTCACCCCACCCCACTAGGTATGTTAAACTCATCTGTATACTTCTGCTCTGCATTCAAAGAGCAAACAGGAGAAAATTAAATATAACCTTACCTCTGTTCCCCAGTCTATAAACAGTATTGCCCAGTAGTCATCAACGCTAACAATATCCTAGCTGTCTCTGATACACAGGGCCCTTTTTTTTTCTCCTGGATGCTCTTCCCACAGTTGATTCTATTCTCCTTCTTAGGTGGCAGGCTCCTGAGTTACACAAGCTTGACCCCCCCAGCTTCCCTTGCAGCTATATCATTCAAAACTCTCTGCTGATCTGCAGATTCTAATTTGGAAACTGAAGAAATGAAGGAAAAACAAGTGCTCAGAATAATTCTGAAGTTCTGCCTACAGGCTCGGTGATATCAATACAGTTACAGCGGTGCAGCAGCAACACAAGGAGGATGGCTAACACAGCTATGCAAAAGGCACTGTTCTAATGGCTACTAAGAGGTTGGAGACCTGGCTTAGAGGTTACAAGCATTGGCTGATCTTCCAAAGGACCCAAGTTCAATTCCCAGCATCCACATGGTAGCTCACAACTGTCTGTAACTCCATTCTAGGGGATCTGGATCCCTCACATGGACCATAGTACCTGCAGGCAAAACACCAATGCACATAAAATAAGTAAGTTATTTTTAAAAAAAGATGGCCTACTAGACACACAACCTTAATCATGGATGGTTACCAACTATCTCAAAGAACAAGGTGCTACTCAAAAATCCTTCAATAGATGTTTTCTACTTATAGTATGCAAATTGACATCATATGTTCAGAAACTCAGAACTCTTGACTTGGGATCTTTTCTGATATTAGCAGTATGCAAGTACACACACACAAACATGCAAATACCTTGCCCTTCACAAACAGAATCACCCTGCATACACTACAAAAAAAAAACCTTCTACATCTACATTCTTTATTTACTTGGCAATTTATCTTGACCATTTTTGCCAGTCAATACAGTTTTCAAGCCACATTAGTAAGTTTTAAAACAAACTGCTAAACTGGATAATGTTAATACCACTGATGAATTACCGAGCATTGCCTTCCCTTATGTGTATATTTGTGCTATTTCCAACCAATCAGGTATCAGCAACCAGTACCTAAGACAGTCATGTAGTCTTTAAATGATGAATATATCTAAATAAATTAAAATATGGTAAAAAAAACTACTAAAACTTTTATAGGTAAATTTCAAAGCAGACGATTATTAAGCTAACAAATGCAAGACACAAAACAGTAGTAGAAAACTTATAAGCACTGGAGTATTTTAAAAGTTATTATGTCTCAAACTATGTCACATCAAATAGTTTTAGAGACTGGTACACTAAAGTTTACAAGTCAATTTATTTTTAAAGCATGTCTTTTGGCTCAGAGCCATGGCAATTATTTATGTATTCAACATGGCTGTTTTTACCCTACAACAGAGCTAAGTAGCTGCAAAAGAGACAAGGCCGCCATAAGCTAAAAATATTTACTATCTGTTCCTTTACAGAAGACAGCAACTACAACTGTACACAACACATTCAGAGTTTAACTCTAGTTTATTCACTAATGGCCTAAACCCACATTGGATGGATGAACAAAAGGATAGATGGATGGACAGATAGATGGATGGACAGACAGATGGGTGGATAAGTGAACAGACAGATGGAACAATGAGCAGACCACAGGGACATACTTGACTAGGGTACTATATTCTACTTACTAGGCAGTTAACCACAAAGGTCAAGACCACACTGAGGACACCTGGCCAAAGATAGCACCATGGCCCTCTGCCATTACTCTATGCTCTAGCAGCAAGATCACAAGCCAGCAGAAAAGGCATGGAGCCAGCATACATTCCATTCTGCTTGTGAGTCAGTGACCAACATGCAAGAACCCTGTCTTCCTGCCTTGTAAATCAATTGTCAGCTGGTGAATAGCAAATCCCTGGAATAAGGACTCTGTGGCTGGCACACTAACATGAATGGGTTGGAATCTTGGCACATCTTTCATTGAAAAATTGCCAGCAATGATTGCCTTGTTGTTTTCAATATATTACCCAGAACAACAAGCCCTCATTATTTTAGCAATTAAGGAACAGCATGGCAAACAATGCTTTATTCTCTCTCTCTCTCTCTCTCTCTCTCTCTCTCTCTCTCTCTCTCTCTCTCCATCATACAGAGAACCTGATTCAAAGAAAGGCATATTAAGACCAAATTGGGACAGTGGATCCTCAGTAGGAAGCAAGTGAAGTCCTGAATGAATATCAAGGACCAATACCTTAGCCCCCTGAGGAAGGCTTTGTTTGGGGTATTGTGCTTATGCAACTCACTTCAAAATGTAATGTATAATTTAAAAATACACATTAGGCCAGGCGATGGTAGCACACAACTTTAATCCCAGCACTCGGGAGGCAGAAGCAGGCAGATCTCTGGGAGTTTGAGACCAGCCTGGTCTACAAGAGCTAGTTCCAAGACATCCTCCAAAGCCACAGAGAAACTCTGCCTTGAAAAAAAAAACCACAAAAAAATGAAATACAGATTAATAGTCATCTATAACAGTCAAACTTTAGTCATGTTAGCTATGTTTTCAAGGTCATATACAGATATATTTAGATAGATAGATTGATTGATTGATTGATTGATTGATTGATTGATTGATAGATGGGGGTCTTCAAACGCTTCAAAGACCTACAGAATATGGTATTTTAAATGTTTTAATAGCATAATGCTATTCATGACAGTGAGATATGTCTGTTCCTAACAGTATCAATTTACTTCAAAAGAAGATAATGGGCATCAAAGAACCTCTGTATGGAGTTTGCTTTTTTTTATGGAAAACACTAGCCATTTGAGCAAAAAACTGCCCTTGCCTAAATTGCTGACAGTGTACTATTCATACTGGACTAGTAGGTTGTAAAGAAAGTGACTGCCAATCTTTGCCAAGACACAGTAGGACAGTCCTTCAAAATTCCCTGCTGCACAAAAACGTCTGTCAGATATACTAGGCCTGTAGGTCAAAGATGGCTGCCCCAACATTACAGAACTTAAGAGTGACTGTCCAGGCAACCAGATATCCCTGTCACTAGGTAACATTTGGGGCCTTTGATGGAGTTGAAGACTGGACAGTCATAGTTAGTTTTTCTTAGTTATGACAAAAGATAAATTAGGTATAAAACTTTAGAGTCACAAAGATAAAATAGGATATTTTTCCTAATTTTGCCAAATCAAATGAACTAGATATTGTAACTGTAATTCTTACTTGATAACTTTTTTTGTTGTATATAATTTTACTATGTTAAAGGGGGAAATGTGGAATTTTCTTATACATTGTGTGAATATATGTCACTGTGATTGGTTTAATAAAGAGGCTGACTGGCCAATAACTAAACAGAGTAAGGTTAGACAAGAAAGCCAAACTGAGACTGCTAGAGTCACCAGAAGATGCAGAGAGAAGCAAGATGGGCATACCATAATGAGAGAAAGTACCAAACCACATGACAACGCACAGATAAAAATATGGGTTAGTTTAAGAGTTAGCTAGTAGCAAGCCTGAGCTATTGACTGAGCATTTATACTTAATACTAAGCCTCTGACTGGTTACTTGGGAGCAACTTCTGGGACAGCCTTCCCCAGGTAAGGCTCAGAAGGATGGCAAAGCCTTCCTCTGGTCTGACTGTAAATTCTGATATGTGTACATAAAATGGCTACTGGCTGTATACTTTCTACAACCTCTCCCTCTCCAGTGTTTTACATCCTGAAAATTACTCCCTTATGCAGACTAA